TCATATTATTATTTCAAGACAGGTGAATGTACTTACATGTGCCCAACGGTGGAGTGAGGTTTTTATTTCATGGAGACATAAACTAAAAATATGAAAAATGTTTGAAACCCTTAAAATATCAACTCCTCATACTATTAACTAGTTGGAAGGGTTTTGAGTTTGTTCCATAAATTTATAATTTTGTGTGTGGATCAATTAAAAAAATTAAATCTCTTAAGTGTTTAGTCAGTAGAGAAAAATCTAGCAGAACCAATTGAAATGAACATTTTCAAATCAAGATGTGTTTTCAGCTCTGTTAAAAAATACGATAAAAAGTTGCGCAGTAAAATTTTAAAATTATTTAATAAAACAACATCAAAATTGAACCTTATTCATGATGTCATATATCGTAAATACAAAAGATTTAAATCATACCTTTAGGAGACAGACAGTTGAATCTCAAAAGAAACTGCAACGAACGGAATAGCCACCGAAAGAGCCTTAACCAACTATTCTTTTCTTCTATTTTCTTTTCCACAACTAGAGTGCGAGTGAGCACGCGTCATACAATTTTCTCCTCGGTATCTTGAACTCTTTCTAACCACAAGAAAGTCAAAGGAAAAACGATCTCAATTTTTTATCATATTTTCCCTCAGGAAACCCTTACCCATAGCCCCTAAAAGTCTATCAAGTGATGTAAATTATAATAGGACGTAATGGGCTATTTATACAGGTACGTTGGACATATTTATGCAATTAAGATTAATGTTTAGAGTCAAAATCACGATTAAAATCACAATTAGTCAGTGCCTATGTTACACTGTTCGGTTAACCGGACAGGCCCGTCCGGATAACTGGATGAGGGACATCGTCCATACTACGTAAACATGTCTGGTTAACTGAACGTATCTAACTGTTTAAGCAGAGCTTGTGTTTCAGGCTCATTTTTTTCTTTTATTTAAGCCCCGGAATTACACATATAACCCTAGTTTTAATTCAAATAATCCAATGTAAAAATTATTTGATTAAAACAATTATATCCATATATTGTCATATCAAATAAAACTAAAAATATTAATTCAACCAATTTATCTTAAATTAATTCAACTGATAAATTACTCTTGAATTAATTACATGTGATTTATAATAAATTGCAGAAATAATTTAAGTTACTAATTTATAGGAAATACGCCGTATCGTATCAAGAAAGTATACGAACTAGCAGAGGGACCTGATAGACATGTATAGATCAAGCTCCTATAATTACGACAGAACCTGTTAGCCTACAAGTTCATCTCATTAATATAAGTTCTAGTGCTACTCCACTAAAAGCGTAGAACAACACTTTCGGTCTATACAATATATTTACAAAGCTCTAATTAGCTCTTGCCCGTGACTTTATTATACTGCATATCATCCCAATAGGATATCCATAATTGACTTGAGGCCAAGTTCCATTTTACCTTCCCGATTATACTTATTTTATGTTGAATTACCACTCCATCAGAAAACTACTATTCATACCAATACAAATAGTAAACTATTAGATAATACAAAGTAGTCTAATGGCCGAACGTTCTTATATTCCAATCCCCAGATAATGCCATAAGAGGATATCATTAACTCTTTTAGTAAGAGCTATGGATTCCCTATCTGTGAATAATAAATCTACCTCCAACATACTGTTGAGAATGGTGTCCTAGAAGCATGAGATGTAATAGGATATTTATTATTTATTTAATAAAAGAGTTTATTCATCATTTTATGTGCATATATTTCTGAATATTTTATGAACATCAAATGAAAATTCTGTGATTTTTTATGTAACCTTAAACATTGTATAGAGTGTTGTATACGAGAGGATAATGTTTAAGGATAATAATCAAAAGGTGATGTTCGTAATCAATCTAATTAAAGTTCAGAATCTTTAATTAGAACATTACTAATACATGTCATTCCCATTTAGAATGGAACGGTGTTATTCGCACGATTAATATGGTGTGATATTGATTGAGTGTATTACGCATAATGAGATTATGTGGAACAGGGACAAAGACACAATATGAATTTCTACTAATTTCTGTTAAGTATAGAAATTCTAATTGAGTCTACCGATGGTCATATATAGAATGGTCTTAATCCTGAGTTCTTAGCAAACTCCTATTTATGGATTTGTGTCTTTTGATTTGCTCGGTACGGATTCTGAGACCTTGAATCCTATTCCTTGTATTTTGGAGACATGATGAAGTAGGTAGCTGGGAATGTTATTATACGAGATGGAATCCATTCCTTCTTGAAAAAGAAGTAGATAAATAATTCTCTTGAGTGTTGATTCGGTACTTGGATTAGTTAGAGCGCTCTGGTTCATGAACGTGTTTTATGAATCACTATCCATTAGAGAATCAATGATATTCAAGGATGAAGATATAATTAGAGAGGTTAACGGATTCTACGTGGCTCTAATTATGAATTATTTATGAATGATTGATATATATGCAATGACTATATCAAATGGACACTTCACAGTTTAGAAGTAATTTATATCTATAATTTTGAGAGTGCAATTCCAAGTTTATAGTGGAGTAACTATTGGAATTAATGGAATTAATTAATTAATTAAAGAGTTTAATTAATTATTAATTTTATTGGAGCTCGAGATTATAGGTCCATTAGTCCCCGCGTCGTCTTAGTAATTCTGCCAGACACAAAGGGCAAAAATAGGAATTTTAGAATTACATAATTCTAAAATTAAACACTCAGAAATAATTAATTAAGAATTAATTATTATTTAAATAATGTGATTATTTAAATTTGAATTTGAACACATCTAGATTTATCCATTTAAACTTATTTGATAAGTTGTTCAATTTAGAATTCAAATTAATTTAAGACTTACTTAAATTTGAATTTGAATTTGAGTCAAAATTGGATTGCAAGATAAATGATGATTTTCTCTTCCTTCCCTATCTGTTTTTGGCGCCACACAGGGATAATATCCTCTACACTTGGCCGGCCATAATGGATAAAAATAGAAGAGGATATTTTGTTCCAAATTCAAATAGGAGATAATTAACAAGCTTTATCTTGGAGATAGAGATTGGATTCCTTCTAGAAATTTGACTTCTACTCTATAAATAAGAGAATGATAGAAAATTGTGGACACAATTTTTGAAAACAATTTTTGACCTAAATTTTAAAGGGTGGCCAAAATTCTCTTATTGTGGGAAGGAAAAATTTTTCTCCAAAAAAAAAAAATTCCACATCGTGCATGCGTTGGTGTTTTTAGAAATTTGAGTTCTAAACCAGTTTCGTCTCAGGTGTGCCCACACACACGTCTTCGTGGATTCTAGGAATTGACGTGGAAGACATTAGTTTTCTAAACACAAGGCTTTGGAGCAAGGATTGTTTGAGGTCAAAGAACTCAAGTTATCATCCTAATCGGCCGCCAGGTATTATTCCTAATTGACTTCTTAATTAATAAATTAATGTGATTAATTTATTCATGCATAAATTAATATAATCTATAGAGTATCTCAAAGGTTTTATGAAAATTTTGTTATACTTGATCCGCTATCCCCACGCTTCCACATCCGAATTCAATTCGGAAACCAACAATTGGTATCAGAGAGGTCTATAGACAATATTAATTTATGCTCTGATTATTTGATAATCAAAATTAATATATTAAATATGTGATATTTAATTATGTATGTATGTGATGGGTAGGCACTTGCATTTATGGATGTTTATATTTAATTCATGTTTATGAATGTATGGATGGTGGATTTGGTCGTTAATTGTATGGTTCCATGGATCGGTTATATTCATTCAGTATAAATTATTTGTAATTTAATTCGGGATTAGAATTATTGTAATTCTAGGATTTGGGTAGAATTAGGGTTTTGATTTTGAATCAAAAGCAAGCCCGGAAGATCAAGTTGAAGCTGCCCAGAAACAAGCCCAGACCAGTGCCCAAAAACCAGGCAGGGCGTGCCCAGCTCGCGGGCAGCACGCGCCCAGCGCGCGGGCATCCGATGCATGCGCACCCAGGCGCGCGGCTATCGGTCCAGATGCGATCAAACGGACCCCGAACGGGCCCGAGGGTTTTTGAAACCCTCGTAATGCGTGCTGAAGGATCCAAAAAAGTTCCGAACCCCAAAGAAGGTGAAATCCAACCCGAAGACAAAGAATGAAGCTGAAGAATAAAGAATTCAAAAATCGAAGAGCCGTTGATGTAACGAAAGAAAATAATTATTGTAATTATTTATTTATTCAATTTGGTTGTAATTTATTTTTTCCATGGGACCCGGTCAAATCTATCTCAATAGCCGATTGCATATATTTATATTTTATATTGATAATTATATATTATATGTCCATGCATATAACATGCCATATAGATATTGTGTGCCTACTCATATGTTTTATGGCATGCTATGCATACACGCGCATTTATTATTATTTATTTTATTTATTATAAAAAGGTTTTAAAAAAATAATATAATATAAGGACCATGCGCTAAAATCGATTTAATAT